CTCGGTGTGGAGGACAACAATAATTCATGAAGTGCCCCTTCCCTTCCCTCTTTCCAGTTCCAAAATACTATCTCCTTCCTTCTTGCTCTCTGGTTATCTTTTGGCAGACCCATAGTAATTCCTTTTCCTGCAGAGAATTGGGGTGGGACCTGGCAGGGAGCCAGCATAGATGTATTTTGGAGTGGGATGTGGATAGGACTGGGAAGAGAGGAGCAAGCTGTGTGTCTTTCATTCTGGTAAGCTGCTCCCTTCAGAGGGCAGTATGACAGAAAGGAATGCTACTGTGGATGGCCCTTATGAAGTCCATGGTTTGCCCCTTCCATGAGTGCTCATATCTCTGTTGGCATCATGTGGTGTGCAGAAGTATAGGAGAAGGAGCTACGTTGATACCTCATTATATTTTCCTTCTGCTGCTTTTTGACCCCTTTTCCTTCCTGCTCAAGCCCTTCTGCATTCACCGCCTTCCCCTTTCCACCTGGAAGTATTATTATCAGAAAAAAGAATGATGCCTAGGAGAAATGTGTGATGGCAGAGCTTCTGTTTGTTTCTGTAGACAGCAGAATGAAGTGTAGTGTCTCTACCTTCATCCCAGGGTGCTGGCTTATGGTAAAGAAGCAGAAGGCTTTAGGCAGGGCTTGTGATGCGATTGCTTGTCTTGTAGACATGTAACCTCTTCATGCCTTTTGTTCAGGACAGAAGCTCTCTCCTGTCTGCTTTTTCAAGTTTTCTGTGGCTCTTGCAGGAACAGAGCTCATAGTTCTCTCCTCCATGAGGGCCCCCAATGTGCCTGGGCTTTCACATCCTGCAAAGTGTCCATCTGCCAAACACCAATAGTTCAGACACTGACTGCAACCTAAATTTACTTTTTCTTCCTCTGTTTGGATGTTGCTATCAGCATAAATCATACTTCCGTTTTGTACAATACTTTCAAAACTTTAAGATTGCTTCAAAACTAGTATAAACATAAGCAATATCAACTAGTATCAGGATCACTTTTTGCTCTTTGTAAAGACTGTAATTGGTATATTAACAATACAAAATGACTTTTCTTAAATCATCTACCTTTTTTTGTTATCTTTGGAGGCAAAAGCCATCCAGTAAGACTGTGAGGATTTTTTTATACTTTCTTGATCAGAGAGGGAAAAAGAAAATATTAAACTTCAAAAGAACATAAGGAGATTTCACAATGCAAGAGTTATTTGACAATGCAATCCTAACTATAACAAATTATTCTGCTAATGTGTAATGTCAGTAAAGCATACTTAAACCAGCACAAAGGTTGATATATCTACACTTCTAGGAGTCTTGTTTTTTTTTTTTTTTCATTTGCAAAACAGAAGGAAATCAAATAGATTTTTTTAATGAAAAATTATTGACACTTCAGTTAACTCTGGGTCAACGAAAGGTTTATCATTGTCTTAAATGAAGTCAGAATCATGCTTACTATCATAAAATTGTCAAGCTGACAGTTGACAAGCTGCTTGTTAATTTCTTTTTATATTTTAAACACATAAATTGTTTTTACTATTTATTCTCCTTTGTGTTTAACTGTAACCATTGGAATATATTTTATCTTACACTGGAATTTTATTTTGCATTTATTTTCATTTTTTATGCTCTTTGAGTGCTCTGTATTTGTCCAGAAGAGTCCAGTGAGTGTCTGCATGCAAGTTCAGTGTTCTGTTTTCAGGCAATTTATGACATTCACTCAGTGTCTCTTCTGAGTAGAGGTTTGCATTTTATTATTACTGTTGTTTGGTAAACCTTCTGACACATTATTGCTAGGATTTCAGCTTAATCCAGTATTATAGCTCTCAGCATTTCTTCTTCATATTTGCTGGGCTTTTTTGTTTTTTATTATTATTATTATTTTCAAAGAATAACATGAATTAAATGTGTATATAAAACCATGGTACTTCATAAAACATATCACAATTGTAGGAAGATGATACTAGCATGAAAATATATTCAGTACCTGCTGTATTCATCCAACTGTTCATTAAAAAGAAAGATACTTCCTCTAAATTGGTTAAGTTTTAAGGTCATGTATCTCCTTTTAATAGCCCAGTCTTTGAAGGAATATTCTTCCAGTTGTTAAATTGGCTCTAAACATAAAGTTGATGTGCATGAGCGTGAAATTTGTATTCACACAGATAACTAAAACAAGGCTTATATCTTTTTCCCCCAAAGGCATGTTTTCCCACCTTTATAATGCTCCTACTCTTGAGGCATGAAAATGTGTGAGCCAGGTCCTCAGATCTCTTGTATACCTGACATATGGGGAAATTTGAAAACAGAAAATTCTCATAAGCGCCCACTCATTAACCCCACATCATGAGGTTAAAGTTCAGAGAAGGTGATAATAAACTTTGTTGACAAATTCTTGGCTCTAAGATATGGCAGACAGAAAGAAGAATTTCTGTGTAAAAAAGCAAATTTAGCAATATGACAGCAACTGAGGACTGAATGCTGTAGCAAATGGATGCTCTCTGAGTTATAGAAGTTAAAGGTCAGTCATTCAAACATCAGTTATTTTATTTGACTTGCATAATTATTAGCCATTAGCAGCCATTTCAACTGTCTGGTAATTGTTTATTTACTTTTGCTTCATGTCCCCAGTGCAGCACAAAACAGTCTCAACACACTGATATATCTAGCAGCGCAAAAAAAAAAAAAAAGCCTACCCTGTAGTCAGAGGTGTCATTGCAGCAAGGACAGAGACACTTTTAGTGTGTGGCTACCACTAGAAGAATGCTTTGCATTATGAACTTCAGCGCATAGCAGCTGCCTCAGCATGTACTCATCATTCCTGGTCAGATTTATCCAATTTGCTTAGTACTAGAACAAATATTTCTGTTCCTGCTGAAAACACGGCTCATCCTTTTGTGAACAGGCTTACAGAAACAGGGATGCATTGTTCCTCCTGTTTCAAAACACTTATGCAAGATTTGTGGAGATTGTGTGGCAGGGATGACTGATGAGGTAAGTTCTCTGACAGGAATATGAGCAAAAAATAGAAGCAGAGGCACTAGTGTAGAATTGCAGCCTCAGTGGTATGCTGGAAAGCACAGCCACTTCCCAGATACCTGGTCTAGCATTAGGTGGGATGGTTGGTGGCCCTGCGTGTGGCAGGGGGGTTGGAGATTCATGATCCTTGAGGTCCCTTCCAACCCTGGCAATTCTGTGATTCTGTGATAACCATTCTAGCTCACTCTCTACTTACCTCCTGATACTATGGTTTTGCAGATCCAGAGCAGCCTTGGTCATGAAGACAGTTCAGTTGCCTTAAATGAAACTGTATACAGCATGTGATAATCATGAAACAAAAAGTTAAACTTTAAGAACTGAATGGTATCCAAAGCTACGTGACATAGATGCAGTCAAATGTCTCTGTGATTTAAAAAAAAAAAAAAAAAAAAAAAAAAAAGTGTGAAGTGCTATGCTTTGCTGGTGAGAACTTTCTATGGAGACGGAGATAAAACATACAAATAGCTGGTTCTTTTACTACCAGTGGGAGATTAGGTGAAATAAATGTTTCAGCTCATCATCCTTTATCACTGCAATCTTTTTTTTTTTTTGGGGGGGGTCTCACTAATGAAATAATTTATGCATGCTTCTCTATTTACTACCATTGCCCTGTATCAGAGTTTAGCCTACACCTTGCTGATTAATTCTGATAGCTGGAAGTAATACAAGGAAGATGTTTTTAAACTTATTATAGGAGGAAGTTCTGCACAAAATTAAGAGAAATTTCATCACCATAACAGCGTTTGTAAATGAGATCTAAATTTTCCTCCAAAGTGTACACTAACTGCTTAAATCCCCTCACCTCTGACTTCTCCTTTCACCCTATATTTAAAGTATTGATGTGATAATATGAACTAGAAAAACAGTTCTCGCCTTACAATTTCTTCCTTCATTCAAACAGCTATAAAAATAACTTAAAATAAGCTTTAATGCCTGGATTGTATGTGTGCCTGGAGCTAAAAGGATGATGTTTGAGAATGATGGATGAACATCTTGGTCTCTTCTGGCCTTAAAAATCAATGAAATCAGGTTTCCAAGCTCTGGGAGTGGGCAGCTGTGTTCACTGAGGCAGCCAGAGCAACAGAAAAGCATGTCAGGCCATGCCTTTTCAGAGAAGGCCATCTAGGGAACTGTGGTAACACCACAAGTGTGGAGTCAGTGGGAGTATTTCTAACACAACACGTTTGGGGATCAAAGTAACCTGTGAATGCAACGCAAGGAGAAGCAGTCCTGGGTATTTCATGAAAATTTTCTTAACTAGCTGATATTGGCAAGGGTCCTACAGGCTAGGTAACTGGTCAGAATGTGAAGTTTCAAGGTGAGTAGCTGTCTTTGGGAGTGTTTGTCTTTAGTCTTATTTGCATCTGAGTTTACTCTGAAAAATCTGGAGATTGATCCAAACTTCAGCGGGCCAGCCCAGACTTGGCATCAGGGCCAAAAATACATGGAGGGGCTGGTAGTCCCAGTGTGTGCCGATATGGCCAGCCATATGATGGGAAGAGTGGCACTATGGATATTATTGTAGGCTCTGCATTGCCAGTAAGGACCTCCTGCCAAATAAGGTGGCTGTCCACCTCCTTCATCCTGGCAGCCACACATTTGCGGACATTATCCCCAGACAACAGAAGAGGGGCTAGACCAGCTGAAATTTGGCCAGTTCAACTGATACGCTGCTTTGCTACCTCAGAGCTCATTACAAACCTCACAGCACTTTCTGGATCTAGGAGATAAACAAGGGAATTTAGTTAAATGTAATGACTTATTAAGAGTGACTTCCTTCAAGATTTAGTGTACTTCGTTTGTTTCTCATCACAGGTAATTGAAGATGACTAAAGATATGAGGGCTGTCAGTTTTCCAGATATTCAGTAATGCTACTGTCCTCATTTCTTAGCTTATTTCTTTTTTAGATTAGTAAGTGATCTGTGATTTACAGCAACGTACCATATTTTTAACCTTTTTTTTTGTTTTCCAGCAAAGTTGTCAAAGGTGCAGGAAAGCAACTGTGTTTTCAAGTACGTACACAGCAAATTTCAAATCTTAGTTTAATTCTGGTAGCAGTTGAGTCATTGGAATCTGAAATAAAATTCTGGTGTGAATAAATAGCTGCTTCTTGAAACAATCTGAAACTTCCCCAAAATAGATTTATTAATTTCTCTGAACCAATAGGTGGATGCTGGATCAGACAGTATTTAAGTTGCACCATCATATCAGGAGTAAAAACGTGGAAAAAAAGGTGATCATGTTTAGTTTATAAAAATGGAAAACTGTGTAGAAGTGAAGAGAAATGGTTAAAAGGATTAGACAAAGAATTGAATGCTTAGAGGAACGTGCTTTATTAGACCGTGAGTGTCCATATATTTCAATACTAAAAAAAATGATTTTCAAAAAAAGACGGTATATTTAAATAACAGAATAAAGGAAGCTAATAGAAGTAAAATAGCCATCCGTTTGAATGTAGAAATACTTTCCAAAAGATGAAAATAGAAGGCAACTTGAACTCATCCTGTTAAATGTAGAACTCTAATGAGACATATTTTAAAAAAAAAAAAAAAAAAAAGATTTTGAAGAACAACTTCCTAAAGGCATTGAAATGACTAATAAGAATGTTCTCCGATACCTCGGAAACAGGAAGTCTGTTAGAAAGTCAATGGGCTGAAAGATGATTAAGGTATAAATAGGATATTCCAGGAAGCTAGGGTCATGGCAAGAAAGCTAAATTAACGAATTGCATCAGTATTCTCTGTGGAAGAGATCATGGGGGTTTCCGTGAACCATTCTTTGCAGGGACAAGCCTTAGGAATAGTGTCAACAGAAGACATTTTCAGAGCAATTCAATAAAACAGTAACAAATCATAAGGACCAGGTAGCATTCAACCAAGCATTCTAAAGAAGCTAAAATATGAGACTGTCAAACTACTAATTTCTGAAATCAGCCTTGAAAGCAGAGAAATAGAAGGTGGCAAATGCATTGCTATTAAAAAAAAAAAAAAAAAAAAAAAGTTTAAAAAGCAGAGCTGAGGAACTACTGACCAGTAAAATTGATTTCTGTACCAGACAAATTGGTTCAGATCATACAGAATAGAATTGGTAAACACATCATTTTGTAGAGAGAAAATGGGTCTCACAAATCCATTAGCATCTTTTGACAAAGTTAATGAGAAACAGGCTAAGGGCATGCTGCCTGCTATAGTGGACTTGAGTTTTCAAAAAGTTGTTTGTATCACCAAAAGGTCTTAAAGAAATTAATCAGTCGTGGAATAAAATAGAGGATCCGTCGCATGTTTTAATACGTGGTTAGGAAAAAAAAAAAAGAGACTAGAGATGAACTGCCATCTTTACACAGTGTAAGATGGGGGATGAGCTGAATCCCACATGGCCCCTGTTGGGGGGCCGAGTTTTATTTAGACTTAGCAAGGATACAGAGCTGGAGATAAACTATGCTTTGATTTCATAGCTTTAAAATATTTTCTTTAATCAGGAAATCAATATAATCTGCATACAATTTGCATGGCTCAGTACATAGGCCTTTATTGGTTTATGATGTCGTTGCAGGAGCATGTTGAGATTTTGTGGGTTAGCAGAGAAAGGAGGAAACAATTCTTAAGTTAGATGTTGCAATAGTGACAGGCATAGAGAAATATGTCACATTTACTTTGAATTTGACAGAGGTAGCAGATATTCTTCATATGTATGTCAAGCAAATTAAATAATAATATTGACCCACCAACACTAGCAAAGACAGTTGTTGTCTGTGAGGATGAGAGAAAAGAAACAGAAAGAAACAAACTGCCAGACTGTAGGTCAAGATGTTTGAATTATAGTAATGCAAGAAGGAACAATTTTTTGTGATTGAAATCTCAGATTTTCCCAAATGGTTACACTCAAGCAGCTTTATTATCCTATTGTATGAACTGATGCTCTCTTCTATGTTAAATTAAGTGTTCCAAGAAATCTAGGTAAATTGTTTTAGTGGAGGTATATGGAGATGATCTTGAAAAAGCTAATCATACTTGGTCACATGTATGAATGGTTGTCTCTGTGGAAATTAAGGAGTGAGCCTTCTCAGGCACTCCCAGATCCCAGCCCAAGAGAGTGAATCTTTGTATCTGTGTGTGTGTCTATAATCTTGCTTTGATATTAAATAACTAACATATCTCCTTTAGAAATGTTATCATCCAGTTTAGCAAGATGCTTCAAAATATTATCTTTCAAATAAACAGCACTATAACTGTTGCATAAAATATTCAGAGTTCTTTACTAAGAATCCGTTCATGAAATCTATTGGTGATACTTAGGATTGTAATTCTAATCTTTTGCTTGCATAGAAGACATTTTTGGGCATAGTTGTTAGCATGATTATGTAATTTTTACTTCCAAGCAGATACATAACAGCCTAATAGCAGGGATCTTGTGTAAGAACTTTCACTGGAGCCATGAATAAAGAACAGGTAAATAAATGGCGGTATGTTTTGGTACAGGTTTCATACATATACACTCTTACGCCTGCGTACACACTGTATATCATGTGGGGGCTACTGGAGAGCATAACAGGTATCTGTATTGGTTATTCTATCTAGGAAAACTCCTGTACGAGTAAATGATTTGCAGAAGTGGAATTAGCATAACTCCCAAGGAACCACAGCACAAAATTATTATAATAGTTGTAAAAATCTACTTTTCCAGACTTACTATGATGGTAAAGTTAGTAAAATAGATAAACATAAGGATACCTACCACCTTTAAGAATGACTCTCAGAGTCGCAGAATGGCCAGGGTTGGAAGGGGCCTCAAGGATCATAAATCTCCAACTCCCCTGCTACAGGCAGGGCCACCAACTTACCCATTTAATACTAGACCAGGCTGCCCAGGGCCCCATCCAATCTGGCCTTGAACACTTCCAGGGACCGGGCATCCACA